TAAGTAGGCATTGATTTGAAATATTGATCTTTAATTGTGAATTGAAAGTTGTTGTACCTGCTCTCCCCCATTACAGACAAGGAGAAAAATCTCTGCTTAAGGGGAGAAGGGAATGCATCTCATCTTCTGGAATAGTCCTCTTCCTCCAAGCTGGAATATACTTAGAACTCAAAAAATTAAGTCACCCAAAAACAAATTCTCAAAGTAACAACTGCCCCATTAATAAGTGCGTTAAAGACTTAAATAGAGATTTCTCTGAAGAGGAAATAAGAATGTTCAGTAGACTCATGAAGAAATGCTCAACTTTTCTAGCCAAAAGAAATGCAAATCAAAACAACACTGAGATTCCACCTCACCCCAGTTAGAATGGCTATAATCAAAAAATCTAATAATGACAAATGTTGGAGGGGATGTGGCCAAAAGGGAACCCTACTACATTGTTGGTGGGCGTGTAAACTTGTTCAACCACTCTGGAAAGCAGTATGAAGGTTCCTCAAAAGACTCCACATAGAACTCCCCTATGACCCAGCAATCCCACTTTTGGGCATTTACCCAAATGATCACAAACAAGGTCATACCAAAGCTATGTTTATCACAACATTATTCACCATAACTAAGATATGGAACCAACCCAGGTGCCCCTCAGTAGATGAGTGGATCAAGAAAATGTGGTACATAAATACAATGAAATTCTATGCTTCCATTAGAAAGAATGACACTGCCCCATTTGTTAGGAAATGGAAAGACTTGGAAAAATCCTATCAAGTGAAGTTACCCAGTCCCAAAGAAATTTAGGTCCCATGTTTTCCCTTATTTGCAATAATCACATATGGTATCATCTTATCAGATGAGCTGAAAAACTCAAAAACCACTTACAAATGACCGTATAAGATGATGCTAAGTGAAATGAACCCCAAGAGATGGACACAAGAGGTCTGTCTTTATTATTATTGTTTTAAATGTACCATGTGATTTTTTTTTGTTGTTTCCTTTGTATGTTCTTTCCCCTATGGCATACCCCCTGTTGTCACTCGATTTTGATACCCTGCATCTTGTATATACATATGTCTAGTCTGGGGAGGGGAGGGGGAATAACAAAAAGCTGAAACAAGGACACAAGATGACCCATTGCAACAAGGATACCCACAGGACAGTATACTGGAAACGAACTTTACAACTTCAGGTGGCGAGGCGGGCAGGGGGGTAGGAATATGGGAGGTGGGGAAGGGATAGTGGGACGACAACAAGGAAGGAAGGGATAGGGTAACAATGATGGACAAGTAATGTTCTCATTGCCTTACTCATGTAACTGTAACCCCTCTGTACAGCATCTTAACAATAAAAGAAAAATTGCTGTTGCAATTCTGTTTCTAGGAATTGCCACACATTGAAGAGGGCTTTCATCACTTTTTGATTCTTGCAAGTTCAACTTTACAATATTTTCTCCCAAACTCTCTTTTATTCCAAATATTTGCCAATCTCCACTGTTATCTTAAAAGCTTATAGCTAAATGTATTCCTTTTTCATATTTCTTTTTTCATATATTTCTAAGACTCTCAATACCAAATTTTAGAAATCTATGTAGAATGTAGAATCTATGTAGAATATCTATTATTAAATGAAAATTATATGCAACTCTAATTACAAAATGTCATAAAGGTACAGTTCATATTTCTTATCTTTAGACCCCAATTTTCTTTTCTGACATCTTTGTGTTAATTATATTATTTTAACCTGGTAGCAATAACATGTATAGAAATAGTCATTAGTATATTATATTTGTACATATATGAATACATGTATATGAATAAATACACTCTTTATTAAAGGAGGTATTTACTACAAGATGATTCTATTATGGATCTTAATTTCACATATATGGTGATGAAGAGGAGGAGGAAAGATGTACCTAGAACTTGAAGCATCAAGAGAAATAACTTTAATTGTCCTCTTGGAATATGGTAACAGTAAGAATATAAAATGTGAAACTGTTTTACAGCTTGGAGGCTACAAATTTATTTTCACTATTTCACTCCTAAGACAGATTCTTAGACTGGGCAGAGGGTACTCTACTACAATAAAGCAAATACTTTCTAAATAAGCTGACTATGGAAAACACATACATGGCCAACTAATAGACAATTTCTAAGAAACATCACTTAAGTTTTTTATGTCAAACTTGAAGGTATAAATAAACAAGCACTAGGGGCTGGGAAGGTGGCTCAGTGGTAGAGCGCTTGCCTTGCATGCATGAGGCCCTGGGTTCGATTCCTCGCACCACATAAGCAAAAAGAAAAAAAGCCAGAAGTGGCGCTGTGGCTCAAGTGGTAGAGCGCTAGCCTTGAGCTGAAGAGCTGAGGGACAGCGCCCAGGCCCAGAGTTCAGGCCCCATGACCGGACCAAAAAAAAACAAAAAACAAACACTGATGTTCATAAGTAAAAAACTGACCAAAGTGAGTTCTTATATTTTATCAAACATGTAAATAGTTCTCAACTTTTGATTATATATTGAAATCATCCTGGAATCTTTTTAAAAGTACAAAACATTGAGCTTTCAAGTAGCTATTATGAGTCTCCTATTCTGAGGTGGAGTTTAAGTATATTTTTTGAAGGTCTTTAGGATAATTTTTATGGCTAGGTAGTAGTGAAATCCTTTGTTTAAGCAATGCATACTTTCTGGTCTTTCTTCAGGGGCTATGAAGCTCTGTTTCTTTGTTTAACTTGGAAAAATACTTGGTACATTTTATTTTCTGGAGCTTTACTTTCTCCTAAAAACTATGCAAAGGTTTTAATTGGGAAATATCAGGTGTCACAGTGACAAGAGTATAAGGAGGGTTACATAGGAATATCAGCTTCCACTTTAGTTCAACTATGTTTTCTGGTTGTGTTGGCATATATTTTTAGTGCCTGAATTCTTTCAGAGCTAAGCTCAAAGCTAATACAAATGAGGCAGCTGCAACTGCATTGTGCTGTATTCACATGGAAGGCCAACTCAGACCATTGTGCTATGGAAATTAGAACAGTAACCAAGCACCTGGCAGAGAACATAAGCAGTTCTCTTAAGCCAAAGCTGACTTGGTGGCATCATCTAAGTAGAAATGATACAAACATAAATATCAAATCACTTGATAAACAGAATATAAAGTAAGAAGCCTGTTTCATATCTTAAACATTGTAAAATATGTACAATTGCATGGCAAGATCTAATTTAAGTATCAGGGTAACTTCTTACTCAACTGTCCCTTACAACCTCTGGTGAGGTGGTTTTAACAATGTATAAAATAAAGAATATTTCATTTAGAAGAAAAATAAATATAAAAAGTGAAAAAACCTAACAAGATGTTAAAAAAGAAAAACATGTTCTTTTATAGGAGGCAAAAACTATTCCAATGCCTAAAGTTATTTTTGAAGAATCTAAGGTAAAACACACAATTCCAAAAAGTATGTGGCCTTGCACATACATACACTGTAGAAAGGCCTCAGAGAAGTATCTCTAAAACATGTCATTAAGTAAAAAATTGTATCTAGTTTCAGCTTCAAATATGCACCATATATACCACAAACATTATAAATATCAAATATCAATTAAAATTTTTCATTGTTGAAGAAACAAATTTAACCATTTTGTATAAGTACATTCATTCCAAACAATGTCATTACTATGGTGAGCAGTAAGTTTACTACTCAATCATACTCCCCAAAGCTCTGGTATATACTCTTAGAAAGAGCCCACTATTTTTCCTAGCTCCATTCTTAGATTTACAGAGAAACAGATGAGTTCAATAAGTTCTGACTGAAATTATTTACATACTTATGGAAGGCTTACTTTGGGCAAAGTGATGGTGATTCACTAGTTACTAATGCCTTCTTGGTGTATTATGCTTGGTACAGAGTAACAGATATAAAAATAGAATTTCCCACTCCCACAGAGACTGTAGTCTAGCAGCAAGAGATAGAAAAATGGCCAGATTTATGAAAAGGTTGGGTGAGTATGGTAACACAGTGTTAACAGCCTCATATGTAGGTCAAGTCTTTGCCAAAGACCAGTATTTGAGGGGAGTTTCAAAGGCTGGGAAGTAATTGACAACCAAAGTACTTCTTCAGGCTGAAGAAATAGGATTTTGGTATACGTAGGAGTATCTCACTCTGAGGCTGGTCCTAGAAAAAAGAGTATGTATCTGAAAAAAACAATAACTAAAGCAAAAAATAAAAAAAAGGACTCGAGTTGTAGCTCAAGTGGTAAAGCATTGGCCTAGCAAGTTTGAGGCCTTATGTCCGAACCGTTCTAACTTCTCCTTCCATTTTTTTTTTAAGTTACTTAGAATTATATCAAAAAGGCCCAAACCAATTTGTGGTCAGCTCATCTTATCATATATGGTCTTTCCATCTTAACATACTTTTGTCAAACTTTCGTATTCAATATTGACTCTCACCATTGCCAGATCCTTTTAGAGTCACCTTCTTTCAAAATATTTCTTAACTGCTTGTGGTTGTTTAAAAGATGGCGTAAGCAAAGCAAAACTTCAGGATTAAAATTCATAATTGTTTAATTTTATATGAATTTGCTCTGCTACTTTATGAGTCTCACCACTCTCTCCTTATTTAGCTCTGGAAAAAAATATCTCATCCCTCCATCTCTAGAAAAAACAACAACTCCCACCAGCAGCTTTATAGAACTGTGATAGTTTTTAGCTAGCAACTTTGATTAAGGCACATCTATAAAAATTTGCATCATGTAGTTCAGAGGAATGTAAATTTGATGTTCTTAGCTACATGTTTTTAAAAACAGCCCACAAGCAAAAATAATACTCCCTCCAGTCTAATAAACCTGATACTGAAAGTAATAGACATTAACTACAGTTAATTTACTCAAATTGGTAACTGTCCTTTAACCTCAGTACTGTAAACATTTTATTCCCCAAGAGGATTTCTTAGTAGCTATTTAAGACTCTAAGAAGAGAGAAAAGTACACTATTCTTCTAGAGAACTGAAAGACTTACTGGTACTTTGAATGGTGAGGTATTTACTGTGTCCATGGAGTTGGGCTTCTCTGATGTACTGGTCCCTGAGATGCTCCGTCTGCGGGGGGACCTTTCTGCTGGCACCTCTGGAAAAGAGGAAGTAAGTTGAAATGGTAAGAAACCCAAAGTGAAGATCTTTGACCAAAGTATAAAATTAATGGTTTTCACAAGAAAAATTAGTTTGCTTTAAAGAAGCATTACATTTTTATCACACCATTTGTTTCTACTTTTGTGATGTCTGACATGGAAAGACAATGGAGACTTGATTAAGGTAATAACTTGTATCCTTATATGTGCTTGTATAAAAAATTTTCTTTGAGCTACATTTAATATCTTTATATTCACTTAATATTTGTATCTTTTACTGTATGAGTTTACTTCTCTATATCAGCAATGTAGGTGTTATTAACAGAGCCAAAAGAAATTTCTAATATTCTTGTGAACAAAATACAGTCTAGTGCTGCATATGAGTTGATAGTGTTTGAGCAAAGGTCAAAGTTCGGTTCTGTGCAAAGAAGATGATTCACCAGACTGCAACAAAAGGGCCATGAGAAGACTGAAAGCTGCTGCCAAGATAACATAATATATATGCCTATGCAGATATAAAAATAGATCGGCTTCTCCTTGTTCTGGCACTATGACCTTACTAAGATCTTTCTCTGGAATCAAAAATTAGTTCAAACTAACCAAACAAGCTTAGGATTTTGCAGATGATGTGATCTATAATTTGATTACTATAAGCTGTCCTGAGGCTATATTTTAAGTTTTTAGAATAATATAAATATACAGATATATATATATGTACATACACAGGCACACATAGATGATAGATAGATAGATAGATTATACCTTTATCACAACTGCTTCCCATCTCCACTTCAACTGACAGACATATAGGATTCCAGCTTCTCAGATAACATTAGATAATCTCAACATGGACAAGGAAAAAAAAAACATATCCTAAAAGAAGTATTCTGTGTTATCTTCCAGATCTTAAAAAATAAGGAGCGAAGCGTGACTCCGGAGACTGACATTTTGATTCCTGCTGTTCTCTCGTTAAAAGACAGATGCAGCTTAAACTTCCATTTCTGGCCTCCTGGCCCCTGGGATCCGTGCTACTTCCACTTAAGAGAAAGCGTTTTCCTCTAGCTCCCTCCCTGTCTTGCTCTTCCCCCTCCCGCTTTACAGCTTGCAGAGAGAGCAAGTGAGAAAGAAACACAGGACTGCAGCTATTCATTCAATCAATCGTCCGACTGCACATCCTCATTAGTTACTTTTAGGCTATTAACATGCATCCAACCACTGTATCTCCTCAGTTGCACTAAGTTTCACTGCATTACACTAATATGCAGCCAGAAAAAATTTGCTGAAATTAATATCCTACTAGTGCTAAAGGACACCATTTTATTCAGACTCAGTAATGCACACAAATCAATGCCTCCTAAGAAAACCCAATTGGAAGTGCTTACCCTATTACTATTTGCATGCCCAGCACTGATATTCTTTTCCATGACTAAATATATCTTCTCTGTAACATCTTGACCGGAAGATATAAGCCAAATTGTAACATTCCTAATTACTGGGAAGTCTACAACATCTCGTCTTCTATGCCTGCAGTGCCAGAGTCCCATGCTATAACTGTATTTTAAAATTATGACCAATAACTGTAAGTCAACCTCTTTTTAACTATCAGAGAGTAAATGATGCTTTAATATACAAAGCCATTGTCAGAATTAGGCACACATGACTTCTAACGCACATTTCAGAAAAATGGCAGTATAATTAGCTCAGATTCATGGGAATGGCACAAAGGAATTTAAGCAAATCAGCTTGTCAGAACACACTGAACAGGAAGCCCTTTGGATTTTAACAATATGAATTTACTGTAATTATCCAAGTAAGGGGATTCTATAAAGTGAGGACATGAAGATGAAGAAGAGCTGCTGGTAAAAGGAGAAAATTTCATCTTTTCTCTGATAAATATCTATAAAGGCTTAATAACTTCTTTTATCAAATTAAGACATAGGAGAGTGAATATCATAATATGGTGTATTTTAATCTCAGGATAACAGACACTGAAACTAAACTGCGAGAAAAAACTTAATTATTTAAGAAAAATGATCTAGTAAATAATTCTTCAATATGCAATGTTCTAGCTTAGGTTAAAAAAAAAAGAAACTCATTTCCCTACTTTTTTTTTTCCCCTCAAGGGTCTAACTTTAGTGTTCAGGTATAAGAATTCATTCAGTAAATATATTTCAATGCTTTAACTATTTGGAATTATACTGTTTAACATGAACAGTTACATTTCAAACTCCAATAAATATAGGCATTTGTTGTACATTTTTAAGATTCTCTTTTTACATCATTAAAAAATCACAAATCTGTTGTAGCTTATAGGTTGGTACTGGGTTCAGAAAGAAGAAATTAAATTATTCTTGAAGAGTAAACACCTGTCAGTAAAGAGAAGGATGAAAGAAGATGAAGCCAAAATAACTGGTGAAAAGAAATACTTTATAGTATGTTGATTTCTCAACCTTGAGCAAGAAGGTAATTTATCTTCTGAGGTAGAATAGGACTTTGAAATATACAGGGTCTTTATTTCTCACAAAATTCACCTGTACAAACCAATATTCACTTAAGAAATAAGGTGGCAGCTTCTACAAGAGCAGAAATGGAGGAAAATTGCAGGCAGGCCTGCAGAGTGAGCTGGTTTGCTGCTAATTTGCATATTTATTTATTCATTTATTTACTTATTTATTTATGTGAGACAGAGTCTTTCTATATAGCTCAGGCTTGCTTCCAACTGTTCTTCTCCTGCTTCTGCCTCCTTTAAATATCTAAGCATAAAAGAATTGGCTACCATGCTCTTAAAGTTCTATTTCTGCTGACTTGAGAATCTATACTCACTAGGCCAAAATTAGATACCTGCCTGCCCTATCACAACTCATGCTACATACTACTTCTGTTTCTATCTGCTGTAAAATTAGTACCTTTCATTGTTACGATGTTTAATTACGATCATTTTAAAATATGCTTACTTTCTAAGACAGACACAAAGACATACAACATAATTTCAGTTGATGAATGTCTGAAACTGCTTCACCCACTTTCTCATCCTAAAAAACTGCATCTTTGGGAGTGGGAGAGGGGGAGATGGGAGGGCAGGGATGGTAAGGGGAAACAAAGGAGGAGGCAACAATGCTTGATAAGAAATGTACTCATTACCTTGCTCATGTAATTGTAACCCCTCTGTATGGTATTTTCACAATAAAAAAACTTAATGATAATAATAAAAAGAGTTATAGTTGAATATGCTTAAAGCCTGGTTAAGTTTTATTTCCTTTGTCACTGGCCATGAATGGAAACAACTTACAAGGATAAGAAGTAACTTACAACACAGTTCCACACTGGGGGATGCACTGTAAAACATCAAGAAAACACCTGGTACTTTTCCTCTACTAACCAATATGATTTGATTAAAGCTCTACCCTTTTTTTGTCTTAGTCTTCAAAACTTAATAAATTGGGTAATTCAGACCAATCAGAGATGAAGACTGGATTAAAGAAGTTACATGCTTTGACACAGAATTAGCTTTTAAAAGAAAAAGGGTCTCTAATTTCAAAGTGTAGTGGTATTATAATGAATACCATTTTCCCAGCGAACACATTTTCCTCTATGTCAGTATGCTTTCTTTGAAAGGCATGGCAAAGAAATTGACAACTAGAATGAATAAAGGTACTTTTGGTGGAGGATGTACCTGTTCAACCTCTTCCTTAGAATTTAATGACTTTTAGTGCACTTAATGTAAGAAAGAATTCCTGATATGTGTGTGTGTGTGTGTGTGCGCGCGCGTGCGCACGCATGCGTGTTCTTAAGGCAGTACTGGGGTCTGAATTCAGGACTTCATGCTAAGTAGGTGCTCTACCACTTGAACCACACCTCTAGCCTTTTTTGCTCTCTTCTGGATAGGATAGAATCTTGCTTTTTGCCTGGGTCAGCCAAGACCATAATACTCCTGTTCATGCTTCTTGATGTACTTGGGATAGCAAACATGTACTGCCACCCCAGTCTTTTCTCTTGAATTTTTCCCCCAAGCTGTCCTCAAATTGTGATCCTCTGAATCTCTGCCTCCTGACCTCTTATAAGGAAAGGAAACAATGTATTTAGGAGAACTCTGAGGAGTAGGTTTTGGGAGACAGTGAATTCTGAATTACCATTTTTTTCTTTCTTCATTTGCTAAAGTTTATATAAAAGTATATTGCTGTTTGTCTAAAAGTAGAGTTTTTCTTAAAAAATCACAGATGTATCTTCTCTCCCTGTATGTGGCATTTGACAGGTGCTTAAAAATACTTGTTAAATGAATAAATACAAGAATGTGGCTAAAAAATAAAAATTAATGCCATAAAACACAAAACAAGTTCAACTTCTAGTTTCATTCTCCACAGACAACTGGCTAATCCCTTTAGGTTATCCAAATGCTCTAGCTCACCAGTATCAAAGCTCTTTTTGATAGGCGCAATGATCTGCTATTTCTTTTAGTACCTGAACATCTAGTTTCTTGTCTCTTCCTTTAATCATACAATATACCATATTAGCTCTCAAGACTGTTAACTGTTCTTGAGACTAGATATTCCAGAGCAGGACAGTTATTGTTTCTTTTGCACCTACCATTATCAGCTATCTTCTACTCTAGGACTATCCCTACCCAAGCATGAAGATTTATAGGGGAAATTTACTGCATACTTGTGACATTCTGTTTAAATCCAATGATTTCTTATGAAATCAAATTTCTTAACAAGTGAAAATTGTCATCCAGGTGCAGGTGACTTATGCATGTAATTATAGCTACTCAGCAGGCTGAGATCTGAGGATTGTAGTTCAAAGCCAGCCAGGGCAAGAAAGTCTATGAGACTCTTATCTCCAATTAACCACTAGAAAACCGGAAATGGTCTGAATGTATCATATAAAGGAAGTAGAAGTTACACAATGACATTACAGGCAAAATATCCTAAATATCAACTGCTTTTACTTTTCATCAGGCTCATGTAACTAAATTTCATATACGACATCAGGTCCTATGTGC